AGACAGACAGGCAGACACAGACAGATAGACAGACAAACAGACTGACAGACTGACTCACAGACAGAGACACAGAGACAGACAAACAGACAGAGAGATACATAGACAAACAGACAGACAGAGGACATAGACAAATACACCGACACACAGACAGACACACAGACATGCAGACTTACAGACAGACAGACAGACAAACAAACAGACAAACACACCGGCACAGAGACAGACAGACAGACAGACAAACAGACAAACACACCGACAGACAGACAGACAGACAGACAGACAGACAGACAGACAGACAGACAGACAGACAGAGAGAGACGGACATACATACGGAGACAAAGGGACAGGCAGAAACATAGAGACATAGAGACACAGAGACATAAAGACATAAAGACAGACAAACAGACAGACAGACAGAGACATACACACCGACATACATACATACATACAGACAGACAGACAGACAAACACACAGACACACAGAAAAACAAACACACAGACAGACAGACACACAGACACACAAGCAGACACAGACAGTTAGTCAGACAGTCAGAGACACAGAGACACAGAGACACAGAGACATACTGACATACATACATACAGACAGACTGATAGACTCTCTGAGATTATAGAACTATAATCACTTAGCAGAGATTATAGAACTATAAGAGTTCTACAATCTCTGAGAGTCATAAAGAACTACAGAACTGTAGTCACTTAGCAGACAGACATACAGTATAATCTCAGAGATTATAAAACTATAATCACTTAGCAGAGATTAAAGAACTGTAATCACTTAGCAGACAGACATACAGTACTGCTCGGTGGTTATAGGACTATAAGAGTTCAGGGCAATGAGGATACGCACCCTGCAACCTTTTTTGCTCGCTGCTGTCAGCCTCTTGTTGTCAATCTGGAATTTGTTGGGCCCATTTTCTTCGAGGCAAGAAGGAAGCTGAGAAGCGTTTTGCCCGTTAAAACCCACATTTTGGCGAACGAGTCCGGTTCTTCCATCACCCAACTTGCAAAAATGATCTCGCCATAACATCTGTAGTGCTTCTCCGTCTGCGCGTACAGCTTCACTCCGGCAGTTGTGAGACAAACAACCCACAAGAATGGAAGAAGTTCCGTGGTTTGTTTCGCCAACATGAGAATGTTTTGCACCCAACTGTCCTTTTTCCTCCTCTTCTGTGCCCTGCCTACGTCCTGAACATCCTCGTCTTCCTCTTCAGCCTCAACTTCCTCATCTTCCTCTTCTTCCTCTTCTTCCTCTTCATACTCTTCTTCCTCTTCTTCCTCTTCTTCCTCTTCCTCATCTTTTTCTTCTTCTTCTTCCTCCTCCTCGTCTTCGTCTCCCCCCACGTCCTCTACTCCCATCGGGTTGTCCTTGTCCTCCTCATCTTCGTCGTATTCCTGTCCGCTGAGCTCCTCTTCGACCTCTGCTTGTTCTTCGGGATCCTTATTGAATGCATGCACTGCTGGCCCCTCCTCTCGAAAGTTCGATCTTGGGCGCCCGACACTGCTGCGTGCTTTGCTTCCGCCCGAGGACGTGGTCAGGTCCGGAACAGACTTTGTCGGTCTGTTCTTCATGTTGAGCCTGCAAACAAAGAAGGCAATGACGATGAACAAGCAGGAGGTTTAGGGCTACAAGAAGAAAAAGAGAAATAGGTTGGGGCGAAGAGGAGGAGGTATAGGGCTTTAAGAAGAACAATAAGATGAAAAAATAAAGAAACAGATCAACTTTTTTTCGTTGATTGATTGATTGATTGATTGATTGATTTCTTTTTATTCCATTTTGCTTTTTTTTTTTTTTTTTTTGTTGATTGATTG